GGTTGTTCCTGTCAGGGTTTTGGTTGAGGTTTTGAGGACCCATATTCAGAGGCTAGGAGGCAGAGGTGAGTTCTTGTAGTCTTAATGAAGTTATTACAGGTGACAAAAATCCTACTTAAAAATGCAAAACAAACCAGAACCATGGAGACATCAGGGAAAACATGCACGAAGAGCCAGGGAAACACAAGGAAAGACGAGGAACCAGCACTGAGGAACTGCACAGGGAGAGTTTATGGCTACGTTCACACTGCAGCCTGAAGTGACCCAAATCTGATTTTTGTGCCCATATGCGACCTGATTCTGATCTTTTCATGACAGTCTGAACAACACATATCCGATTTTTTCAAACAGACCCAGGCCATTTGACTATGTGGTCCTGAATCCGATACGAATCTGATATTTTCAAATATCTGAATGGCGGATTCATCCGACCTGAACGTCATTAATAGCAGACAAAGGTCCCTATTCTGCGTCTTGCTACTCAGAAGCGGCAAGAAAAACAACAACCATGGCAGATGATGATGCAGAGAGCAGTATTTATGTTTAACCATATTGAAAAGATTGTGTTTTTATGGTTAGAAAAGACTAGATGCGCGCCGGCACTACCATCAATGTTTACTTCCGGAAAAAAAGAGCACGCTGGCCTGTGACGTCATTGCGTCCTCTACTGCGCATGCGGGACTCTTGCGTTGTATGATTAAAGTTCACACAGGAGATCACATACAAGTCACATATATTTGGAAATATGAACGGCAAGGTAAAAAAATCGTATTTCGCAAAAAAATCAAAATTGAGCATCAAGGCCTGCAGTGTGAACGTAGCCTATATGGGAGACTGAACAAAGAGAGACTAATGAGCTGATTGGGAGCAGGTCTGAAGAGAGGCTTCTAGAAGGAGCTAGGGAAAAAGAGACAAACACCAGAGGGCAAGCAAAGGAAAACCTAAGAACTCAAATATATCCAGAAAATATCAATAAAGCTGGAAAACTAAGAAAACAAGGATCAATGGGAAACTGAAAACTCACAGAAAACTTAAATGAACCAAGACTGTGACATCTAAAAGGAGCTAGGGAAAAGGAGACCAATACAAGAAGGCAACAGAGGGCAAACAAAGAAAAACCTAAGAACTCAAATAATCAAGAAAACACCAATAAAGCTAGAAAACAAATAAAACATGGATCAATGTGAAACTGAAAACTCACAGAAACTTAACAGAACCAGGATTGTGACATTTCCATTGAACTGGTCAGAAACTCCTGTTTCCCCCTACACTGAGTAGCTAAAAGCTGATTTGTTCTGTTGGTGTATTTTGGTTGTCATTTCTCTTAACTGGGGTTGGCTGGTTGGTTTACTGCTTTAGTCCATCCCCACCATCCTGAGGCCTGCTGAGGTTTATTACTTCTTCTTGGCTATCAGCTGGTGCACTGCTACAACATCTATGCTGGAAGCCCTTCATATTCAATGTCCACATTTGACTATCGATGATTAATGTGATGTTGAATTCATTTTACCATTCGTTAGATTACCTCAAGGTTTTATGGAGTAACTTTTAACTGACACTGCTGCTAATTGATGGGGATTCTTTTAACGTTTCATCATTTCAGTCTTGATTGTGAAAGTATATAAAGAACTCCTTAAGATTACTGTTTTGCTGCTTCAGTGACTCACTGATTTATAAATAAATTTTTGGCCTTTGATTGAAAAATGCATGATTAAGTATAATTTACAAATTATAATTATCAACTATATTCATTATCANATGTCCACATTTGACTATCGATGATTAATGTGATGTTGAATTCATTTTACCATTCGTTAGATTACCTCAAGGTTTTATGGAGTAACTTTTAACTGACACTGCTGCTAATTGATGGGGATTCTTTTAACGTTTCATCATTTCAGTCTTGATTGTGAAAGTATATAAAGAACTCCTTAAGATTACTGTTTTGCTGCTTCAGTGACTCACTGATTTATAAATAAATTTTTGGCCTTTGATTGAAAAATGCATGATTAAGTATAATTTACAAATTATAATTATCAACTATATTCATTATCAAAGAGGTAAAGTTAAAAAAAATAAAAATCAGAATGAGAATGTCTGCTGATTGACCCCCCACCACCACCACCACCACCACACCCTTATCCACTCTCTATTTTACAGCAGATTTAGGCTCCAATCAGGTGGATCATCTCCACATACTCCTCTCCATAGCAGTTTGACCCAATATACTGCAAATTAAAAGTCCCATAATAATTTAATAACACTTAATCATACTTTGTTCAGACCACATTAAAGAACACTGTGAGAGAAACCGCCCTCATAGTTCTATAGGCTCTGTGATGGCTTTTAATGTTATACAAAATATTTCAGTTCAGTCATTTCTTTTAGTTTTACTTGTGTAGAGAATGTCTACTGTCCAGCTTCATTAATTTGTGTCGGCCTGTATAGATGTGTTTTCCTTTTTTGATATTATTCTATTTATATATTGTTTCTAATGGTGCAAATATGTTTAAATGTGCACAAAATCTATCTGCATAATCTGAAATTTATTATATTGCCTCCTTTTAGGCCACAATGAGCACATAATTTGTTTTGTGTGTGTGTGCGTTTTTGTACTGGACTTTAAGAAGTGCCTAAAAAGACTGTACTGTGCTGTGCAGCACCATGTTAGTTTACCTTCAAGATAAAAACAAAGTGCAGAAATAAAGAAGTTGTCCTTATTGACTCTTGTGAAAACTATGATGCTTACAAAATCTATGACTCTTGAATTAAAAATATGTCTCACATCTAACATAACCCTAACATCTATAGGTTCCCATAGAAAATTACACACCATTTCTAATGTTTTACCCATGTCAGGAATCAGCCTAAATGTATGAAACCATAAGTTCAGCAAAACCAGCTACCGGTTTGAATTAGTTCACCGAAGAATTCTTAGACTTAGACAAACACTATTGTCTTTTTGTATACATAGAGTGTATACTAAACGAAATGTCTTTATATAGCTTTCAGATAGTGTTTGTTTTTTGTTTGAGCAGCAGCGTAGCATTAACTTGACTTAGATTAAAGGCTATCCAGCTTTCTGAACCTCGAAAAACTAGGATATGCAGATATTTACCACAACAATTTTTCCTGAGACCACACTCACACACACACACCAGGTCAAAAACTGATTGTAATATTTATAAGGAATAATTTACTCAATAGATGCTGAAGAGAAAAAATAGCAAAGGTAGGTTTTATTAAGGAACAGTAAAACAGAAATGTAAATGCTTCACGTTTAATGCATTAAATTCAAATTCAGTCTAATGCTGATTTCGGTTGCATAATCTCTTTAATCCAATCCATATATTCAGGTATCTTGGTGTATTTGGTCAGATCTTCCTGATGTCCTGAGATCACTCCATAGGCCTTTCCATTCTCGCAGACTAATGGACCACCAGAATCTCCCTGAAAGCACATACAGAGCATGTGATGAGTGTTAAAATGAAACAGATAGATTGTTTGTATGAGAAAGACAAAAAAATTAAAAAATAAATAAGATGAGGAAGCAGAAATGAGCATGCCTACCCCAGCTGGTCCCTTCTTCCCTTTGGAATAGAAAGCTTTTTCCTCGGTACACATTTCATCGTCAGTGAGAGTCACATTGACCTCCATGAGTTTTGAAGAAGTTTTACCATTGTCTGTTATTCCCCAGCCAATGACTAAACACATTTTCGGAGAGTTGTCAGCCTTGTCTGCCATTGCAATTGGTTTCATTCTTTTTTTGCAAGCAGCTCTGTTGGACAACTAGATAAAAATGGAAAAAACATTAGACTGGAATCCCAATGTGATTTTTAAAAAAATTATTTGTGAATGGCTTGTTTAAAAAATACTGTAAATAGTAAAACTTATTCTGCCAATTTAAATAAGTCAACAAACATTTTTAAAACTATATTACCTTCAATAGCATGATGTCATTTGTGAGAGTTTTTTCATTGTAATCCTCATGTGGAAAATGTTCTTTAACAGAAGAACATTTCATCCCGTTGTCATCAAGTCTGTTCATCCCAAAACAGACATTATAGGACCTAAAAAGAGAAAGTAAGGAAGGAAATTCTTAACTAATATTTATGCAACATAATTTGGGTATAGATATATATATTACGTTTAACTGACTTGGCCTTGCAGTGGGCGGCAGTCATTACAAAGTCTTCTCTCACAAGGAATCCACCACAGGTGAAATTTACATTATTTCCATCATTATTTTCATCATAGCCTTCCACATACACCATGTATGGTCTGCTCTTGTTTTCACTCTCATGGCCTCCAATGATTCTTCCTGCATGAGCT